ATGTAAAATACTTTCATTTTATTACGTGATTTTACTCATTTATTGACTTTATTTAACCAAGTTCATGGAAATAAAGACAAACAGAAGATGAGCTAAAATCAGCAAAATGACTTAAAACAGTTTAATATGTTCACCACAGCTAATTAGCAGCGGTGCAACAAWACATGTACCTGTATCGAACTGTTCAATACACACTTGTGTCGAACATTACCGATTTTTATCAGCTTGTCTTCTGAAGATGCTCTGTGTTGATCTGTGATCGACTACTCCACCCAGGCTGCTCTGTGGAGCACAGATCCACTGAGAAACTTACTGTTTAAAAACTGAACTTTTGAGGTTAAACAAATGTTCATAATTAATTTAAATAAATTAGAAGTTAAAAATGGCATGGACATTTCTCTTTTTTGGATCGAAAAAATATCGAACCGTGAGACTAAAGTATCGAACCGAACCGAACCGTGAATTTTCTGTTTCGTTGCACCTCTGCTAATTAGCATTAACAGGTCAGTTTTCCTGACCTCAGACTTGGTGTGGTAGCAGCTGAGAGTCACAAACATTTATCAAAGTGCTTTTCAAGTGATGTAAATGTAAAAGTTCAGATTGTTTCTTGTTTTAAAGCTTCTGCTGTTAAACATTAGTTTTATTTTGAAAAGCCGGCTGTGAGGTCTCCAGGTTTGTCTGAATCTCTCCCGGTCCTCTGGCCTCCTGCAGACGTCTTACCCGCCCACCCACTACATCCGTAAAGTGCCGCAGAGGAAGATCCACTACTTCACCTTCCTGCAGATGGTTCAGCTGCTGGTGCTCTGCACGTTCGGCATGTACCCCATACCCTACATGAAGATGATCTTTCCTCTGGTCATGGTCCTCCTGATCCCCATCAGGTACGTCTGTCGGGGCCTGGAAACTCACCTGGGCTGCATCACGGCAGGACTGAGCCTCGATGGTTTTTAATCCAGCTGCAGTCCATCCCAATCAATCAGGATGTGTCAGATTATTAAAGGGCCTGTGACATCAAATACTTGTGATAAACATGAATGTTTTTTTGGAAAGAAAACATTGATGACATAAAGTAAAAAWGATTTCACATCACTGAGATGAACAGTTGTTGAGATATTTGCATGTGAAGTAACAGGAAGTGATGTCAGWGGGGAACGTCTGAATGTAAACAGAGCGTTGTTAAAATGACAACACAGACTGTAGAGAATAATCTGTTTATTTAGATTATTTTAATCACTATCATAGAGAGATTAGAAGAGTCATAATTTAAATAATAATGTTTCAATAAACAAAAAAAAAATTCTCTGAGTTCCCCTATGWTGTCACTTCCTGTTTCACTTTAGTTGAGCCGAATTCCAAAGAAAATTTATCAATTATGTGACATAACGGGTAAAATCATCAGTATTATGCCAATTTTCTTAAATATAAATAWATTTTCTTTGACTTTTTGTATTGCAAGGATATGCATGTCACAGGCACTTTAAGGCTTAAATCTGTTTTCAAAATAAAAGTTCTCCATGTTCATGGTGGTTTCAGATGTTCTTGTTTTTCTGACATTAAGCAGAAGAAGTCACTAACTTTGTCTCTGCTCTGTTCAGGAACAACGTTCTTCCTCATATCATTGAGGCCAAATATTTGGACATCATGGATGCCCAACACATGTAGCCAGAAGAACCGCAGCTCTGGATCTTCAGAAAAATAAAAAAGACACATTTTTAAATGAAGGAGTGCAGAAACTGGGACTGTTTGGGTTTTTGTATCTGAGTTCCGTCCTGCGGGTGAAGTTCTGGAAACCCTGAGAGCTGGACTTCACGTTTGATCACCCCCCCCCCCACACACACACACACACACACACACACTTCAGGACGTCCTGTCTGCGGCATGTTTGTGTTGAAAACACCCAACATCTTTGTGTTGCTGTAAGAAACAAAAATCTTGACTTTTAGTTTTAAAACATTTAATTTAAACTGGACGGTTTCAAAGTCCTGAAGCTGAGTTTTCTGTTTGAACGTGTCCCTCCTGAGGGTCTTTAGGGGTCCCTCTGGTCCGTTCTGGTCTGCTGTAGACCAGGTGTCTGCTGGTTCTTGTTTTAGCTGATATTTTACTGACAGGTGTGTTTTAGACCTGGACTTTCAGGACTGCGGTCTTAGATGGTTCAGGTTCAAGGAGATGTGGATCAGGGGGTGGGATCCAGTCCTGGTCCTCGAGTATGGCATAAATCTTGTGCCAGCAGGAATTGAATTTGAATTAATTTACTTTGAAACTATATTTTGGTTTATTAAAAATTCAGTTTGACTACTTTCACTTTCAGTTCCATAATTCAGATGTTTGTGTCACATCCTGGTCCTTGAGAAAGCCAGGCAGAGTAATCAAACACAGATCCACAGATTTATGTTTCACTTTGGTGAAGTTTCCCTTCTGGATGTAACAGAGTTGATGCAATCCACTGTAAAAGTGACAAAAACACACAGAGTTATTTTACTGCAGTGATTAATTTGACCTATAGTCAAACATAAATCTGTGGATCTGTGTTTGATTACTCTGCCTGGCTTTCTCAAGGACCAGGATGTGACACAAAAATCTGAATTATGGAACTGAAAGTGAAAGTAGTCAAACTGAATTTTTAATAAACCAAAATACAGTTTCAAAGCAAATTAATTCAGATACAAAACTTTAAATTCAGTTTCAATTTAGTGAAATTTATTTTCAAACCAATGCATTCAGTTTCAGTTTTTGCACGTTCAGATTTAATTCCTGCTGGCACAAGATTAATCCCGTACTTGAGGTCGACCATCCTGCAGGTTTTAAATGTTTCCCATTTTGACACACCTGATCCGACTCCAGACCTGCTGCAGGGTGGAGACCCTCGAGGACCAGGTCCAGACCCTCAGAAACCAGACTGAGCCGGTTTCCCGGTTTTGAAGTTTTCGGACCATTTCTCTCCAAACTGGACCAGACTAACCTGACCCCTCAGGAGGGAGGGGAGGGATGTGCGCGTGAGTTCAGCTTGCATCAAACCGATCCGGGGGTCAGGGTGAGCTTTAAGCTGTTTTTTGTGTGTTTGTGTTGCAGATTTGTGAGTTTTTTTCCCCCCAAAACGCGACGTGTCTGCGTGTCGAGCCTTTTCTTCGCAGCGTCACGTCATTCTTGCACCTTCTCACTGCGCCGTTTTCTACGGAGGACAGTTTTGCACATAATCGTTTGTTCTCTAAAGCCAGGATTTAATAAGTGTTCTTCATCTKCCAGCTGTTCAGAGAGAAAAAAACAAACAAAAACTTATTTTTAAAAGTTCGGACTGAGAAAAAGAAGCAAAAAAAAAAAAATTCCACGAGTTTGTTTTTTTTGTAGTTGTTTAGAGCGACAGCACAAGCCAAAAACATGATTTATTTTATTAGAAGATCTGAAGGCAATATTCAAAAACTTCAAACTAAATATTTATTTATTGAAATTAGAGTTTTATCTTTAAAATAAACGACAGTTTGTGTGTTTGCCCACACGTTGCTTCTTTTGTTCTGCTTCGTGGCTCGTTCGGGTCAAAGGTCAAACAGATCAACGCGTCTCTTCATTTCCTGTTTGAAGCACCTTGTCTTTGTTTTCTGTTAGATGTTCTGATTAGATGAGTGCTAGATGAAACAAATATATATATATATGAAAACAAACTTCACAGCATGAGAGCTTTGGGTTTGTAGGATGCATCCAGAAAAACAAACAAAACAACAACAACAACAAAAAAAAAACGTAGCTGTTTGTTGTGAACCCAGTGCAGAGCTTGATATTCAGCAATACTTTGTATAAAACAGAAGCTCAGCCGGGAACGTTTTGGTTCCTCTGAGGACCCACCAGGAGCCACGAAGGGCTCGCTGCCTTTTYATTTATTTAATTAGTTTTTTAGAATCAGAACCGCCCAGAACCAGGCTCGGTTCAAGACGTCCSACTCAAAGCAGGCGTGGAGAGACGAGCTCCCAGGATTGACAGAATCTGTGGTCTGAGCCTGTTTTTACCAAACGCTCCTTTTAATCCAGGCTGAGGTTTAATCTGTAGCTTCAAACAGAGATCCCCCCCCACCATGACGGTACCTCCACGTCCTCGCTGTTCTGACGGTTCTGGACGAGCAGCAGCCGCCCGTCAGGTTCTGATGTCTGGTTTTAATTTGAAAGACGTTCTCCTCCGTGAAAATCTGTTTGAAACTGTGCTGTTCCGTTCGATCCGTTCTTTTCCCGATTTGGTAAAAACCTGCGTTTTTCTAACATGAATGTATGATGTGGGATTTTTTTATATTAGCATTAAAAAATACAGAAATATTTCGGTGTCAAACAGAATCTGTACTTTTTGTCTAAGAAGATCAGGTATATTTGTAAGCTGTAATATGTATAAAAAATATAAGAAACTGGTTATGAAACAGAACGTGTTGGTTTATTATAGTATATAAATAAAAAATATATATGTATAAATACTGTATATTGAAAAAGAGAAACTATCTCAAGCTGTTTGCCAAATAAAAGTAGTAGTGATGTAATTTATTTTGTGATTTATTTGATTTTTGAACACTTTAAATATATGCAGCCCCAAGTTTGAGCTGAAAGCAGCAAAACTTAATAAATTCAAACAGCTGACTTTTGTTGAACGTAAGAAAACAAAAGTGAGAAATTTAAAAAGTGTCAAAATAGCTAAAATGAGCAGAAAATTGTTTAAATTTTCAGAAAGAATTAGCAAAACACATGAAAAGGTCCATCAAGATTTCAGAGTTTTTGTTACAGTTACCATAGTGTTGCTAACTGTGGCTAACTGTGCTAACTGTGGTAAGATGGCCGCCAGTAAACAAGCCATTTAGCTTTATCTATGGTGGGATGGTTCTCGGCTCCGACCACACCAAGATTAACTCAACAGGTTCAGTTACTGTAAAAGTAGCTGAATGCTAAAC